TAAACCCTGACCTTCCGAAGGAAACTGGAAGCTCTGCTGCGTCGACTGAATGTCCAGTCCTGGGTCGGCCCGAACGCCGAGATGAAGGTTGTCGCCTTGGGGCACGTCAAGGATTGGCAGCTGTGGCTTCTCGGCTTGCAGCAGTTTTCGGGCCAGGTGGGGTTTGATCTTGCTTCGATAGAATACAATCCACTCGGATTCAAGGTAGAAGACAAAAGCACTAGATGCACTAGTCCCTCTTCTCCTGGAAGCCTGAAGCCATACATCGGCAGGGTGGACTCTCTCAGAGCTCACTGGCATGGCGCTCTGCTGGATACATCCGAGGGTGTGCACTCCTTTACATTCCTGCGGAGGCATGGTAGCTTGCCGGCAACTCTTGGGGGTCCAACGCAAAGTTGTGACGTTTTCTGAACAGTCCTATAGAGAAATATCATGTGAATAAGATCTCTGGGGCTTTCTATAGTAGCATTCCTCGGGGTTTAGGCGTTTAGGGTTCAGGGTCTTCGCAGTTCTTTCTTGGACTTGGGGCCTGCAGCTTCTCTTTGTCTCGGGTCAGGAATCTGGAGTTGGCGACATGAGCCGTGTGGTTCTAGGTTTCAACATCAGAGTTAAGTTGAAGGATTGCCTGCTTGGACATCACACGACAAGGTAAGAAATGGTCCCAAAGCTTCTTGTTCTCAGCTGCTATCATTCTTCAGTTTTAGTTCAAGTTTCCCGTTCTGTCCAAAGACTATTGCATCGTGATTTCAACGTTAAGTCGCTTACACAGGTTCATGAGAAACCCTCTGCCCCAATTTTAGCAGCAGCCCAGATGTGCCAAGCGATGCTCGTATTCATTCCGAAGGGCCCGTGGCACGGACCCTCGTGAAGTCTGACTTTGATGTGATATGTTATGTGAAGCGCTACGCTTCAGATGAAAAAGTTTCACAGAAGCCACTCTTGGCTTTGCCACATGCCTTTCTGTCCCGACTGCCGACCCCACTGCCTACTTTGCAACGAGCATTAGCACCACTGTCCTTGAACAAACGGAAACAGTGGCTGGCTCTAGCACAGGAGCTCTTTCGAAGAAAGCGGTTCTCCACAGGCTCCATCCGATACCTTTTGAAGGCTGCTGAGGGTGGCACAATTGTCGTCGAGGACGAAGTGCCGCTGCCTTGGCACAGTGCCGAGCACGAGCATGGAATCATTCGTTTGGAGGATGCTCCACCGACTACGTTCCTGAAGTTGCTTCCTGTTGCTAGATTCAAGGCAACATTGCGAAGGTAAATTTACCATTCAGGTGCCCAGGGCCTCAACCCGAAAGTAACACCCACTATCATTCATTATGGGTCCCCAGTAGGTTCAATTGTTGGAGGAGATTGAGGCCGCTGGCGCTGACAGAGCTATGCTGATGTTAAGAATGTTTTGGACAAAGTCCAACTTCCTGGGAATGCATACTTGCGGTTCGCAGAAGTCAAAACTACGTCGTTTCGCAGGTGCAATGCTCGTGCACGCCCTGCAACTCGAATGCCTTGCTCGTCTTGCTGCAATCAGTGCAGGCACATGTTTGCTTTCAAAATGGTCGCTGACAAATTGCAGCACTTGGTTTCAAGAGCACCACTGCACAGTAAACGCCGGAGGTCTGCCACACATTCTCAGTGTGCTTCAATCAAGATCCAGGGTTGCAGAGCTAGGGGCTTCGGGCGAACATGGACTCGGAGGAGGAGCGGCTGTTTGGTGGCAGCAATGGGCCCTCTGACTCAGAAGAAGAACGCCTGTCCGAAGCGCCGCCCGCATAAACTTCATCACCTCCTTCAAAACCCTTACCTCCTACCTGAAGACGCCAGAGTCCCAAAACACACCGACCTCATGAAGAGTTAGTTCTCACTGCCGAGCCCAGTACCCTAAACCCTAAACCTTCCGGAAACCCTAAACTGGAGCAAGGCCACCTAGAACGTGGGTAGAGCTAGAGGTGTTCGTGATAAAGAGATATCCCTGATCCCAGAAATCAAAGTTATTAACTCCCAACCCTCAACACCCAAGATTAAGAAACAAACCGACCGCCCGCACCCCAGGCCAACAGATCCTCAAGCACAGCACTTTTCATTGGCCGATGCCATCAAAGCAATGCAGCTGAAGGTCCGATTTGGGTCTGCACGTCGGATTCCTAAACTTAAACCCTAAACCCTAAACCCTTAAACCCTGAACCCTAAACCGAACCCTAAACCCACGGTTTCCGGGTTCCCTGCCCAGGTCAGAACGCAGCCACGGCCAGCCGGAGCCAAGTCTCGGCCAAAGCCACGGGTCAGAAGAAAAATCTATGGAACCGACCTTCCCCCCTCGACTGGTCCCGGGGGTCCACGATCTGTTTCGGAGCAGTTTCAATGGCCGCGAAGGCCGGGATACTTGTGATCATTCAGATGTTATGGGTGTGCAAACTCATCTTCCACAGTCCCCAGGTTTCTCGAGAAGGCCAAGGCGAGATGGGGTGCAGGCTGGGTGGTGGAACGCCTGTCCGAAAACCTCAGCTGGTTCCTGACTACAACTTTTTCGGGAATTGGATGCTTCGAGCTGGCTTGTGCAAGTGTACACGGTCCGCAATCAGGGCAGAGTTGTGTATGGTGTGGTTCTGAGTAATCTCCGACCTTATGACCTAATCCAACCAGGGTCCGCTGATGAGGGTGGGGTAGGTAGGGGCAGGGTAGCATGGGGTGGGGTAGGGTAGGGTAGGTAAGGGTAAAGCAGGATAGGTGAGGCTAAAGCAGAATCCTACCCCGAAACCATGCAACATCAGGTCCAGACTGTGGCCCGAGCAGCCATCCGCGGAGCTGGAAAAGATGAGACTTCGGCCTGCATCCAGCTTGGTTCTGCCACCGACTTCTGCCAGCACTCCCAGAACATCCTGCATGCGACTTTTCGCTCCCGGTGTGTGTCGTATTCTAAGTTCAGCTTCTCTGCAGTCATGCAGTAGTAGCAGTAGTATTTGGCAACACTGAGCAAGAGACTCAGCACCAGGTTCAGTGACGTTCTCCACTGGCGAGGGGAAGATGGGCTCATGAATTGTGCCTGGTGCACTACGCATGAGAGAATGTGCCACCTTCCGACCGGTGACAGACATGGACGACGGTTTAGGGTGGAATGTGCTGGAGCCTCTTGCCAGCCGTTCAGTGCGGCTGGGAAACGGACCAAGGCGTCTAGTTGTTTCTATATTCTGGGGTCGGGCTTCTACTCCGATCGCTTTAGGGTTTAGGGATCTCCACGAGCATCAAAGACTAATAGTAATTTAATCTAACTAGCTCCTGCCCTCCACCCTAGAAGCCGGTGCCTTCGTCTCTACCCTGCCCGCAGACTATGCACTCCGCCTTCGCTTCGCACACTGTCTGGCACGACATGCGGCTGAGGTACCAGGAGGCCTGCACGGGCACGGCTGAAGTGGACGGTGCTATTGAGCTGTTGGCTTCTGAACTTTAGTTTGCAGCCCAAACCTGCTGGCATTGAAACATAATAGTCAAGTCCAGCACTGCTTGTTTCCGCAGGATATCATCATCTTCGAGAACACACCACTGTTTGAGATGGACATCCTCCGCGATCGATTCGGATGCTGGCCCTCACTGATTCAATCCAACTGTTGCAAGAAACATCACATGTCACGTGTTCGTCTGCCGTGTTCTAATTAGAAATCAATCAGGACGGGACTACGAGATTCGATCGGTGCGGTTCTGTTCGAGACACTTGGGATTCGGATGTGCCAGGGCGAGACTGTGGGTTATCATGACGAAGAAAGCAACTGTAAGATGGACGACAAAGACCAGCCTGCAAGACCTGGTTTCCACATTTTTTGCCAAACCAAGAATGGATGTGCCTGGCCTGATTAGCTCTAGCCTAGTTGATTGCAGACGTGTTCTTTACTTTGAGTTCCCTAGCAAGTGCATGGTTGCATAGCTCATGGTAGCACCTTTTCCTTGAAGTCCTCTTGCCAAACATGTTTCATGTCATCGTGCGAAGCCAGTCTGATCCAGCAGCTTCTCAGGATTGAACCCGAAGCCCCCGCCTAATATGAACCTTCAAGCCCAAAGCCTCAAAATCAAGCAAGACTAACCTGCTGAGGCTAGTGACTTCTTCTATGTCAAGATGATGAAGTCTTGCAAGGCTTCCCCGTTGAGTGATGCCCTGCTCCGAACGAAGCGGTCCTATGATGAGGTCTTTGGAGATACCAAGAAGGCATTCGGGTGGGGGATTTCCGATTGGCTCCTTCATGATAACGTGGTCTAGTTTCCTTGAACCCTAGAAGCCCGAAACTCCGAAAGCCTAATCTCTGCATCATTACAGTGCCCATGGTACACAGCTGTAAACTCTTTTCCGAATCGTAACACTTACAGTTCTTACGCTGATCCCACGACACTCTAAACCGCCTAGTTCTATATTCTGAGACTAACTTAAACTTCACAGCTCCTCCCAGCCCTTAAATAGTAAACTTCGCAGGCAAGACCTGAATACTGTGGTTTTGCCGGGCCAAATAAGTTCATCCTTACTCAACTTAGGCTATCTTACTTAACCCAAACTGCCCTCCATGCCCGAGGTGTATGACCTGTCCCAAGCGTCCACATCTCACATGAGAACTGAGCTGGAAGATGAGTCGTTGATGACTTTGAAAACAAACTGTGGCAAGCTCTATTCCGTTCAGCAGAAGCGCCTCATGAACTCTGAAGAGATATTTTCAACTCTGTGTGTCCCGACGAAGACGCAGTTCGTGACATGACTAGATTACTTCCACGACTCTAATTACATGTTGTATNNGTATTTTGGAGCAGATTATTAATCCAATCAAGCGCTCTCAATCCCATCTGAGGCATCCACGGCTGGAAGCCCAATGATCGACGTGAGCAACCTGCCGTTCCGTGCCGTTTGTACGCTTGCCGGGAATGGGATGCACGTAGCACAGGCAGGTGCCATTGCAATTATTGCAGCCCTGTTCATCGACAGAGTCTAGCACCATGAATCTGTTCGTAGAAACTGCTTTGAAGCCTTCAGCCAAGCCCGCAACCGCTCTGACCTGATTAAGCTTTAACTTGAATTCTAGTCCGTGCCCACACCTCCGCAACAGATGCCTCGCCCGAAATCACAACAAACCGTAGGCCGGAGCTGAACCCTAAAGTTTATAGGTTCTTGAAACTAACCCCAGACTTTCCAAGTTCAGGTGAGCTACGATACTGTCACTGTACGAGCGGGGGCAGGTCTGCATAAATTCGACTAGTCTGGAGATGGCTGACTTTAGGGTCGGGCTGTCAATGACTTTTATGTTGCCAGCTCCGAGCTCTGACTTGTGCAGACTTATGACATGAGGCACGAGCGGCAAGAGCTTCTCCGAGTGTTGCAAGGGTTTTTGGGATACAGTGCAGTGCAAGCAAGAGGCCAGCATCATGAAGACACCATTCCGCAGACGGTTTGAATTCAATTCGCTGGCTGGGTGCCACATAGAGGGGCGGCGATGCCCCCTAGAAAAAAACAGGCCTCGGCAAAGAAGCCAAAGCATGAAGAGACCTGGGTGGGCCGGATGAAAGCTCTCGAGCTTCTCGAATGATCTGAGTCGGTTGCCTTCTAGCTTCTTGTACTTTGCGCAGCTAAGGAGCTACAATCCTGAACAGGATGAACACCCCTGCCGTTTGGTCGAGATGTACTTTGGGCCGGAAGCCAACGACACAATGATAGAGGCTGTGAACCATTGGCTCACAAGCAACGGGCATCCGGAGGTAGGGACCATACGTGAGATACGGATCGCATGTGTCAGTGTGCTACTGCTGCTGCTGGTGCTGCTGCTGCCAATGTCAGGTGCTCCTGAACACGCACGTCTTTCCCTCCGAAAACAAAGCGGCCGACATCCCCATGCTGGCGCTCAGCTTGCCCATCCCGGTGGACCAGGCCCCGCCTTTGGTGACTTGGAGCAAGTTTGCTCCAAGTATATGGACTGCATGGGAGAATGAAAGGGAGCCCCTGGAAGTAAGACCCCAAGCTGTGCCACCGCTGCAAGCCGGTGATCGGTTGACACGTGCTTCTGTGGGGGTGTGCCGGGGCTACAGTCGAAGCACGATCATTGCTTTTGGGATAGCCCGAACCCTCATGATCGAAGACCTGGCCACAATGATGGAGAGTGAGAAGGAGGAGTTCACGAGGTGGGGATCCACATGTTCGTTCTTCCGAAAAGCTTCCTTCGAGCAAAGAGGTGCACATGCGAGCAACACAAAACCCAGTGGATGATCGATTTCACACATGAAATTCAAACTTGATTCGTGATATGTATGTTCTCACTTGCATACAGCTGAGATTGAGGGCTGTGCTGGGCATTCTAGTTCTTAGTGGTGCTGTTGTTCTGAGAATAACTATGATTGTTGGATGATATTGCTGTCCTCCTGCTGCTGCTGCAGCTGCTCATGTCGTTGTTATTCTTGTTGCTGTTGCTAATGTTGTTGCAGTTGCTGTTGCTGTTGCTGTTGTTCTTGCTGCTGCTGCTGTTGTTGTTGTTGTTGTCGTTGTGGTTGTTGTTGTGGTTGTTTGCGTTGTTGTTGTTGTTGTTCTTATTCTTCTTGTTGTTGTTCCTGGTGATGGTGTTATTCTTGTTGTTGTTTTGTTGCTCTTGTTTATCTTCTTGTTCTTGTTGTTCTTGTTGATGTTGTTGTTGTTGTTGCAAGCAGACCCAAAGCAAGTCGATTTGCAAGCTCCCAAAACCACTCTTAGTTTCGACTTGATATGGACCAAAGTACGTCGATTTCTTAATGTACAGGCATGACCCAATCGAAACAGATAGTCAACAGAAAACGATCCCAAAGACTAGGCGGTCGACCTGGTGACCGGCACACATAATGAAATCGACTTGGTTTGGACCAAAGTACGTCGATTTTGAAACCTTAAATAGGCCTTCTGTTTTCGACTTGCTTTGAGTAGTAGGCTGGGTCTCATTCAATGATTATTATGATCCGTTTTCTCCAGTATACAGTACTGCTGATCATGACTTAAAGGACAAATCCGGTCCTGGGTCCAGGGGCACTGAAATGGACTTGGTTTGGGCCAAACTACGTCGATTTGCTGGGGGCCGCAACTCAACGGTGATCCAAACCACGTCGACTTTTGGGGTGGCTAGTATGCGGGGAACCAAACCACGTCGATTTTCTAGTATGCGGTGAACGAAACCACGTCGATTTTCTAGTATGCGGTGAACGAAACCACGTCGATTTTCTAGTATGCGGGGACCCGAACCAC